CTCTGCGGTCGTGAGCATGTGGTGCGGGCTGGGCAGCCACTGCAAAAGCTTGGTGTAACGGGCCGGATTCCTGGGCATCTAAAAAGGCATTGCGCCGTTCTTGTGCCTGAAGTAGCGGTGCTAAATTATCCAAAGTGGCATTCCCAGGAAAATAGTTGATGGCCGTGATGAGGGACTCATAACCACGCCCCAAACCAAGAATAGCGTACTCAATCAAATCCTTGTCACTCACTGGAGAATTAATAGCAGTCAAAGCATCTGCCAACAGCTTAATTTTCAACAAATATTGCTCCATAGTGTGGGATGATTTCTTTTTAATATGAGACAGTGAATTCTTGAGTTCTATGGAGCGTGAAAAGCAAGCAGACATGAAACGTTGTTCTAAACGTTCCCAAATAAGATGAGAGTGTTTAAGATCATATACTGCCATCAATGTATCTCTAGCAAGAGTTGCAAAAAGCCAGGAACGAACAGTCTGGTCAATCTTCAACCAATGATGGTAGTCCGTATCAACGGACTCCCTTTGAGCCAAATCCATGACAAATTGACAGTAGATGGCGGAATCGGAATAGACCCATCCAATATCCCTAAAAGACTATGACATACTAGAAAAGATTCAAACTAAGTCCGCCAGGGCAAATAATCCTCAACCGCAGATAAACGAGTAGTAACAATATTGTCAACATTCGGTGTGGAAAAAGCAAGTTGAGATGCCAGGGACGATAATAAGCTTTGAGGTTGGGTAAAACCTGGCAAGGGAGATTGGCAAACCTGCTGTAGTGGAGCCACGCCCTGCTGTCCGGAGAAGGTCGGGCCATAGTAGGAGACCGAGGGACCACTGACGCTGGTCAGAACCAGGGGAGGCAGTAGGGATGGTGTCAGAGTCCAACAAAACGGTTCTGGCATATTGAACATGCGAAAAGAGTCCAGCGGAGGGAGAGAACTGATGCGCTGAGATAACGACGTTGCTAGCGGCGATCGGATCAGCGCAACGGAGGACTGCGTAATCTGCAGTGGTCGTGTAGCGCTGCTGGAGCTACCCTGCGCATCGAAAACGTCGGACGGTGTGTTGACAGGGGGCATGTTGGTCTGCGGCTGCCCAGAAATTGCAGGCGACGGAGGTGCACCGGTGACGGCGATCTGCGGCTATGCGGCGGTATGTGGGACGTGACCGGCCATGATGAACGAGGTTTACAGAACCCTAGCAACTGATACCATATACAAACAATAGATTTTAGAGGAAATAATGCCGTACCCTATTGGGTGCGTTGATGTTATATTTATAATAGAATAGAGTTAACTTAAATTACAAAGTAATCCCTGTAATTACATTATTAGTAGTTACATTTATGGTTGGTGATTGAAGTTATTATAGAGGACGATCTCAGCTATTTTTCATATAATTCTTTATTTTATTAATAAAAAATATTTTAACTATTTTTCATAGTTTAGCAGAATCAGCCATTCTAACCGCTTTAGCCTGAACTTCATAAATTTCAGTAGGATCATCCGATTCCGTCAATCAGTGTTAACAAACGGTGCGTTAAAAAAGTTACTCAAGATATATGTAAATTAATGTTAAACCTTTTTCGCCCTGTGCCTCTAAAATCCTAAGGTCAGCCCTGTCAAAATTCAAATTAATTTGTGAGAGTAGAATCTTAAAATCAATAAAAGACTAGAATTATATCTAATAAATAAGTTGTCATATATCTATACAACTCCACCTCACCTTTTAGTTGGTGTTGAGTCAAACAACAGATTAAAGATCCAAAATATAGAGATGGGCCGAAAGGAAAAATAGTTATATATTTGGCAATTATATACCAAATCCGAACTATAATTTCAAACTCCATGTGTTGTATATTTAATGGTAAAATAAGCTATTAACTTAAACTTCTATTAGCAAACCTTGAAATGAATCATATATAAACGCCTATTAGTGAATTTGTATGTAATAATTTCATAATGGTAAACTATGCAGTGGACATTATTGAGAGTTATGATCAACTTTGAAAAAAGTTGGCATCATCTCATTTCTTCCCATTTTACGCATTGATAGTTGTTGTACATGACGATCGAGCGTAATCGTCTGATCGAGTTGAACGAGAAGTTTATAATTGCGGATCGTTACGTTATTACTCCTTTATAGAACATGCAGAGCGCCACAGTCGGTTACACTGGCAAACTGGCAGATTGCTAGCACCGCATACTCGTGGCCCAAAAATAATAATCACATGCACTTAGTGCACATCTTTATCATCATGTGATGATTCACATTTAATTTCTACCATTTATTTCTTAGTTTGCTATTACAATGACATTTTATTTTAATTCTTTTATGTTTTAAACTAATCGGAACACTATTAACTTTTTGAGTTTTCATATAATTGCATCCAAATTCATTCCCGTGCAACGCACGAATAGAGTAACTAACATATATACTTTATATTAGTGTGTCGTTTTTCAATGAGAAGCTAGCTTAAAGCCAGAATAGATGTACTACTTAAAAAATAGCAAAATTTGTGAGACAGAAAGTTGACAAAGCTATACACAGTAAAGCCCATTTGGTAACCCCAAATATTGGCTTAACAGTATTATCAGTAAACTTTTTTACTGAACTCAGAACTTTTAATTTGACGAGCTGCATTGTATTATAATAAAAATAAATAATATTGATGTTACTTTTCTTTTTGATTTGACTGAAATTGCAGAACATAAACTGTCCTATTTAGCTATCTTTTTCAATATTCTTTTCTTTATTTTAATAAAACTCCGTATAATACTATGCATATATATTTTAAATATAATTTTCACACTTTTGTGAATTTGGTGAATTGAACCCTTTTAGTTAGAATACTCCGTACAATACTATGTATATTTTAAATATAAGGAAAAATTGACAAGAATAATCCCACCTTTCACTGGTCTTCTCATAATAATCCCACCTTTAAATAATCCCAAAATAATCCCACCTTTGCACCTCATCTTCTTTCATTGGACCTTGACCAAGTTTTTTACCTTTTTTAAAAATCTTATATAAGTAATCTCACATTTATAAAGATATACTTAAGAAGTGAAAGGTGAGATTATTTGTATAATTTTCAAAGAAAGTGTAAAAAACATGGCCAGGGTCCAATGAAAGTAGATGAGGTGCAAAGGTGGGATTATTTTGAGATTATTTAAAGGTGGGATTATTATGAGAAGACCAGTGAAAGGTGAGATTATTTTTGTCAATTTTTCCTAAATATAATTTTCATGCTTTTGTGTATTTGGTGAATTGAACCCTCTTAGTTCGAATTTCACCAACTTTTACACATTCACCCAATTCATGAATTGAATTTTTTTAGTGTTGGTAAGTGTAACTCAATTGGTGGATATGAGGTGACACAACGAGTAATCTCAAATTCAAATCCTGACAACTACAATGAAAGGTTACTAAAATTCAATTTACATCATTCCAATTTATTGTTCGATTGGTGTTGGAGCTTTCAAGGAGCGTCATTCTTTCTTATGAATCGATTTTAGGCAGCCACATCTTTCACCATTCAACGTTTGTAAACATAGATGTCTTTTTTCTTTCTGTTGAAAAAGATACTTGATTTAAGGCGGACAATAACAAAAGAGTAATCATTAGGTAGCATAGTTTTAGCCCATATATCAAAATAATGACGTACACAACAATAAAATGAAAAAAAGCAAGGCGTACAAATGATTTCCAGCCCTCATAAATAATGGGCGTTACGTTTATTTTGTAGCAGCACAGCCGATTCGATCACTCCGTTGACGTACGTTAAAGGTCTAAATTAAAGGAGGTATACATTTATTGGATTCACACAATTAAAGCAAGGGAGGTTAGTATATGTGTTAATAAAATAATAATGACAATGGTACATATTTAAAGCTACGTATTTATACATTACTCGAGCCGTATCTAAAGGTTGCCGGTCTTTCCCCGCCGCCCCTAAAAAAATACAGTAAAAAACAACTCACGGAAAGAAGCTCCACATCTTTAATTTAGACATCGTCATGCATGCGCATCAGTAAATTCAATTCTCAGCTCCAATTAATTAGTTTGTGTATATTAATTTTTTCAACATTTTCCTTGTGGCCAAATTAATTTATTTCTTTAAATAGGACTAAAAAATGCACTTAATATTGTTTTTCTTAAAATATGATTCAATTACTCCTAATTGAAGATGTTATATTCTATAATTTTAATGCGACCAAATAAGTCATATTTTGAGAATAAATTTTAAATTCAATTCTTAATTCACTCCACCCAAATTGATTTAATTTCGATTAGAACATATACAAAATGCACAATACAACTATAAATGTTTTCCTTTTAAAATAGAACTTATTTATTCTTAATTTAAGAAGCTAAGCTTTATTCTTTAATTTTAATACAACCAAATAAGTCATATTTTGAGAATAAGAATGTTTTTAACTGAACTGAAACTTTATAATCTGATCTGACTCGGTATGATTTGTTAAAGTCTGGTCTAATCTGGTAAATGTCTGGTCTCTGGTTAAATGTGATTTAATTGGGACTAAAACTACAATCCGAGTACAAATTAAACACCCCAAACTCCCAAAGGCCAAGCTAACTATTTCTATTTGTACACTTGATTATATACTACTGTATGTACTATGAATTGCGAATGTTTAATCATATTGGTATAGCAATTTCTCTAAATTTAGTAATGATGATCGAGTAAAGTGGGTGGATGGAAGAGATTAGTAGCTAATGCATGGCATATATGCATGATCGCCAATTCGCCATGCATAGATACTATTAATGATAGATATATGCTCTTAGCTTTGGTCACGATTACCCTCCCGCCCGGCCTCTTTCATGTGATCATTATCTTCTTAGCTTCCTCCTCACACTCTTGCCTGTGATTGGAATCAATTCATCTCATCGTTCCAAGTTCCAACTCCACTAGCTTCATCATTATATATATGCAAGTTTGCCCTTTAATTCTTCAACGTATAGTATTCCCTTCATGATATACAACAAATAATCAACAATACACACACAAAATTAAAGGCACACATATTTACACATACAAGCTAGCTAGCTAGAACTTATAATCGAGTTCGAATAGCAGTAGTTTTCGATCGCCATGAAGCTGGGTGTTTGGGGTTGCAATAGTACTATTATTACTCTTCTCATCATTCTCCTTTTCCTCCTTCCATTTGTGATGCCTGCTAGGCGCATCGGTAAGCTCAACCACCTATCATTCATTTTACTCCATAATTAATTATAGGGGGAATTCCACTCAGCACCCCATTTTTTGGTGATATTAGACTTTGCATCCCATTTTTTTAAAATGACTTTTCATCCCAACAAATACCATTTTGTGAAGAAAAAATTCTAATTGGGATGCAAAGTCAAAAGAATTTTAAGTGAAATAAAATGCAAAATCAATTTTTTTTAATGACATGAGGTGCAAAATGGAATTTCACCCAAAAGTTGGTCAAATTCCCCTAATTATACTGCCACACCCGTTTATATGTGTCACGATCCCGTTACACTTACAAAAATGTTTTCACTTAGCTTGAATGATATCATTCTTTGACTGATTTAATATTCTTTGACTCGTCAAACCAATCCAAGTCATACGGAGTGAATCCCTACAGTCTAAGACCTAGCCACCAAAGCCTAGGCGGACTAAAGATAGATAAGAGAAAAGTATAAATCAAGGCATAGTTTCTCAAACATGAGTGTCAATGTTTTCTTCTCTGACTCATTTTCTCTTGTTTTGGAATTTTTCATTGTTTTATTTTGTTAATAGGTGTAAATAAGTCTAATTTTGGAAAAGTCATAACTATTCCTAATTTAGAGTTTACCCATATTTTGTACCCAATTTATTAGCAAATTATGGAAAAGTTCCCGGAATAGAATTAAACATGTTTTGAAATTTCAAAATAGAATTGTTATGTTTTTCTTCTGGAAATTCAAGAGTAACATGATGACCATATCTACTATTATCTTGTAGTTATTACTGTCACAATAGTTGCAGTATTAGGCATTAACATGCATGTCATTACATTTACTGCCACTAACGGCAGAATTTTTCAACGATGGACTAGCTCTTCTTATTTCGAAAATAAAAACATAGTAATCTTATTTTAAAATTTCAAAATATATTTACTCACATTTAGGCAATTTCCCTAAATTTAAACAAAGGCTTCTTCTCAACCTCACATACTTGGATGTGTATAAATTTCAGACCAGAGATACGAGACATCATCACCAGCACAGGTTGACGGTGGGAGGGAGGTGGCCGGCGGGAGGGCAGAGGCCGGTGGGAGGTTGTCGGAAAATGGTGGGGACGACAAAGGAATGAAAAGTGACAAGCAGGCGGGCGATGAGATGACGGCGGTGCAAGAAAGAGGAGATGAATATTATCATAAGAGGGCTGCACTGCAAATGGCGGCGGCGGCGGGTTCGCGGTTGCCGGACTGCTCGCACGCATGTGGATCGTGTCACCCATGTAAGCTGGTGCTGGTGAGTTATGTGTGCTCCACCACTCAGGAAGCAGAGACTTGCCCTATGGCCTACAAATGCATGTGTGACAACAAGTCTTATCCCGTTCCTTAATTCACATTTCATTCGTTCATCTTACATAAATGTATGTTCATTAATTAGGAGTTAATCTGATCAGTTGAAACATTTTGCAGTCGTTAGCTAGCTCATCTTGATTAATTCAATTCCATAGTTGTTTTTTAGGTTCCTTGATGTTGGATCAACCTTACTACTGTACTGTACTACATATTCTAAACATGGTATGTTGTGATAGTATTTTCAGTATTCTTATGGTACATTTGGATAAAGTGCACTTCTATGAATCTATGATCAGCCTCATGAGTACATTTGTACGTAGAACCTTATTGAGAAAATTCCGAATATAGGAGTAGAACATAGATGCTATGCCAAAATAGGAGTCCTACTTTGTCAACCATGTTTGACACGGAATTTTCATGTAAGTGACCATAATACCCTTAATGAAAAGAAGCTGAAGTTTTTGTAATGAAAGCTGAATTAATACGGAGCAAAAAAACAAAATACAAAAATATAATTTTACACAGATCTGGTCTACAATACTACCACACCAGATTTGGTGTTGCCAGCCACCATCTCTTGTGCCACCGCCGCCAACACTGCCGCCACCATCTCTTCCGCCGCCGGCACTGCCGCCGGCTCTTCCGCCGCCGCCGCTGACGTCACCAATGTGCCGCTGCTTTCAAGAGAGTCTTCATTTGCCACTTCCGTATTTTCCAGCGTCGCCGCCGCCCTCCGGCGAGCCCTGCGCTTGGACTACTGTGAGGGAAGCTAATTCGTGTCAGTCTTAATTGATAACAAACAAATTTTACATTGATTTTGTTTTAATTTTATCAGATCTATTTCTTCAATTTTGCTGCAGTTTTACCAAATCTATCTCCAGATCTGTTTTATCTGATTTTTTTGTTGATTTTTCTACTTTCTCTTTCAATTTTGTTTTGGCTAATGTTTTTCATATTTAATTTATTTTTGACAATACAAAATATAATTTTTGAAATCTGGTTTCAATCATTATTTTTGTAATTTTTCGGATTATTTTATGAATTGAATCTATAATTGCTAATGTTATTTTTGCACTTATTGCCATAGTTTTGCCATTTCTTTTGTTACTCAATCGGGATGGCAAAGAGTGCCAAATTTTTATTATATACAAAAGATGTTATTTTTGCATTTATTGTCATTTGTGTATGGCACAAAATACATGAAGATGGCAATATTACGATGAAAAATGACATTTTTTGCCAATATTTTCTTATGATTTTGTTGCCAACATTTTGAAAACATGATATTTGTAAAATAATTTTGCCAAACATTTATAAAACATGACATTTGTAAAATACTTTTTCCATTTTTTAATGTGTAATTTTCCATCTTAATACGTTCGATATCATAAAAATGACATAACTTTCAAAAAAAGTTTTCGAAAAATAAACATTAGTTATAGAATTTTCAGATCCAAAATCATTAAATTGAAATTTTTTAAAATAAAAAATCAAAATTCAGTTTTATTCAATCACCGAATGTTTGTATTTTAATAATAAAAAAATCAAATCTGATATAAGATTCGTCAAAGGAAAATTATAAAGGATATGAAAAAAATTGATAGACCAAATAAAGGAAAAGGGGAGATTGAAGCATGATAAATTTAGATCTGGAAGGGGAAAATAACATTAACTTAAAAATCAAATCAAATTTTGGTTTGACGCTCCAAAAGGTTTGCCGCTGCGCAAAGGAGAAAAAAATAGAGAAGAAGGGAAAGAAGAAGAAGAAGACGAAGAAGAAGAAGAAGAGAAAGAGGAGAAGAAACTTACCTATGATTATTACGTTGTCCGCTGACAGCCGGAGTTCCGGGGAGAAATTCACCGCCCAAACCTTCGTAATCCACCGGCGGAGATGAACTGTGGAGGAGGTCAAATAGATGAGTGCGTGCCAGAGGAGAAATGGGAGGAGATGAGAGAAGGCAGAATAAAGAGGGGAGAAAAAGGTGTGATGGAGACGGAAGATGCCTGACAGAAGGAAAGGCAATAGACAAAATCAAATTAATTTAGGCTAGTTGCAAAGAGGGTATAATTGGAAAAGGGAATGGGCCGGTCAACAATAAACTCCTATATACGGAATAAATCACCAAGTACTCTTACTTTGGAACTTCCTTATTGATTTAGTCCTATTAAGGACAATTTCTTAACCTTATTGCTTTCACCAACTCCAACCCATCTAAATAGTACTCCATACAAAACTCTGCATTTTGATGCCGTGCTAATTAGGTTACGTTGTCCAGACAATTACCGAGTAATACACAACTTATACACAACCTTCTAGTTACCGGTGTATACAAACAATTCGTTTGGAAAAAGACAAAATTTTATGTCAAAATATTTGTGTACACAAGAGTATACAACTTATGTGCACATTTTGTGTACACAAAAAAAATACTACAAATTTGGAGCTAAGTGACGAGCAAGAGCTCAAATATCAAGCATTCAATTCCCTTTTAAAAAGTGAGAGGAGATGGAAATGCTTACAAGTAATGAACTAATGATCAACACCCTACATGAGCGCAAAAACCAAATTTAAATACACATGACTATAATAATTAGTATTTAGCTATGAAGCACGGATACTTCCCTAGGGTAGCGTATCGGTGTATCCGATACGTTCCCGTATCTGATACTCTAGGATACCCGTACCATACGTTCCCGGGCCGTATCTGCAATTTTTAAAAGTTTCCACTTTTTTTTGTAATTTTTTGAAAGTTTCCGATACTCGTATCCTGACGGATACCCGTATCAACTTTTTTTTAAAAAAAAAAATCCCAAAATTTACTTAATAAAATTCTAAAAAAAATGAAAATCTAAAACTACATTTTACTTGGTAATCAAATAATGGGCCTATATGGCTATATCCGAATTAAGTCATTAACTCATACTCCGAATTGGGTACTTGCACTTTTAATTTCAAGATTGTAGTTGTTTGACTTATTTCTCATTTTAAATTAATGACTTATTGACAACATTTATATTTCGAGATACACTAGTGTATATGAGAAATATTATGAATTTATTACTAAGTATCATGAAAAAGGAAAATGTTTCAATGCAATGAATGGGTAGACATCATAGCATATTATATGTATGTATGTATATATATATATATATATTCAAAAAAAATCTATTTTTAATATTTATAAATAGACCCCTATAACTTTTAATATTTGTAAATACACCCCCATAACTTTTAATATTTATAACTATGGCCCCGTATCCGTATCCTACTTTTTTTGGTTTTGACGTATCCCCATACCCGTTTCCGCGTTTCCGCGTTTCCGCGTACCGGTATCGGTGCTACATAGGTATTTAGGATGTGTTTACTTGGATTGAAATTTGTTGATTTGGTCTGAATCGGTCTGATCTGATAATTAAATGTGTGATCTCTATTTATTTTATAACTGCCCAAGTCTGATTTGCTCTAGTCTGGTATGGTATGAGACTGAAAACAGTCCAAGCTAAGTAAACACATCATTAACATATTGTACACAGTGGCGGAGCCAGGAGTTCGTGTCAGTGGTGTCAATTTAGCAAAACAATATAATATAATAATGTCTACATATATAAAGCAAAAAAGCAAATATTGTCATTAGTAAGATTAAAGTACTAATTCACAACTGTCCACGACGCGTTTTCATATTTTGAAAACGTTGTACAATTTTTTCTTTGTCAACACTTTTGAATATATCTTTTCAATAAAAGTAACTAAGGCATCATTCATCATAGCATCCCCCATTCGATTGTGAAACCTATTCTTCACGAACTTCATGGCTGAGAAAGATCTTTCCACAGTTGCGGTGGCCACCGGTAAAAGCAAAACTAATTTCACAAGTAAAAAACTAATGGATACATAATACATAGTATGTTTCTTTGTCTCCACCAATTTTTGAGCAAGAGAACCAACTTCTTAATATCTATAAATGTAGAGTTGGAGCGCACATCAAGAATAAAAGTTTCAAGTTAACTGTCAAGAGCAAGAACATCTACCGTGAAAAGTCAAAAGGATATAATCGAGCCATGCGAATCAACTTGTCCTTGTCAAAAGATGAAAAAGTGTCTCTAGGACTAAGGCAAGCCACACAAAGAAGCAATTTTGTAGTAATCTCTGTGAATCGATTGTTCAACTCTTGGCGTTGTCTATCCACCACAACATAGAACAAGTCCACTTTGTAACGATGTAAGTTTGTGATTTGGATAACTTTGCGACGGACCCTCCCATGAGGTACATAAAAATCATTCATACTTGGAATTGAAATTTTATTCTTTTCACAAAAAGAAGAAACTTCACCAAAGAGACTATCCCATCCTCCATCTCTTAAATTTTGCAATCGTTCTTTGGCAACTTTAACCAATTCCATAGCATTAACAATATCTTGATCCTTTCTTTGCAAACATTTTGACAACTCATTTGTTATTCCAAGAACAGTCTTTATCAAGTGTAAGGTGAAAACAAAATCAAAACATTGGACCAATTGTAAGAGTGTTTGAGCTTCAACTCGTTGTTCATAATTTGAACCATGTTCAGCCACATTCTCAAGCACATCAAGGATAGACGAAAACAAGATAATAATGTTGAGACATGTACCATAATGAGAACACTCCATCGTGTATCACCGGCACGTTTGAGGCTACGCTCTTGATGTAATCCTTTTCCACTACAAATCTCGCCATTATTTAATGCTTCAACAACTCTAATAGCTTGACCCACATTTTTCTAAATGTTGGATGATGTTAATTTATAATTTATGAAAGATTATCTATACCTATATAGAGATTTTTTATTTTTCACTGGTGTCAATTTTAAATTTTAATTTTTTTTATATACCTACATATGGAAAAACAAAATTCCAGTGGTGTCAATTGACACCACTGACCAAAGGGCTCCGCCACTGATTGTACACAGTAGTGAATACAATCATGCATGTCCACGTTTTAAAACTAGAATGACCATAACACCTTGTTCACGGGTTTTAAATTTTAGGAGTATTTCAAGAATATTCAAAAACTGTAAACTGTAAATGTCTACTTAAATATTTTGTGCGATGGAATTCGTTTGTAACTTCTATGAATATGTTATGTTAGGCTACTTTTTACTTATTCAGTTATCCCCATGTGCGCGTTATATAGACTTAATTGTATGAGATTTCACCAAGTCCAAATTAAATATACATGTGTTAATTTGGTACACTTTACTACATTCCCACGGTATACATTATTGAGTAATATAATGAATAATTAAATACATTTCATATCACCACTTACTATTATTAATTACTACCAATCACATTTGGCACGAAACAATTTAGAGATCAACCTCGATTCATAAAATTATGTACAAGTCAAAACTATTTTAATTTTTTGAGTTCAAAGTTGAATTCTAAATACGGAGTATTTTCATTAAGTAGGGAGTAGTGATTCGTGGAATCGTGGTCAATTTTAATTAATTAAGGTTCTGATTCGTTCTTAAGGTGACTTTCTAGACTAAATTTTCATTTAGATCCAAGTCCACATAGAAGAGTTGAAGTCGGATAACAAAATGCCCAATTACTCGTTAATATATACAAATCACGCTTTTAATACACTACCACATGAGCTAGGAAACGGATATAGTAGAGTCATACTCCTCATCATTTTCTTTTCTCTATTTCTTTTTCATTCTATCTCTCTCTTTAAAAATAATAATTAAATCTCATCTCTTATTTTTCCCTACCCCACCATTTCCCCATTCCTCTCTTTATCTCTCCTACTGGAAGTATCCAGTCACTGGAGAGGAGCCAAATTCGATATCGTACAACCGATACATTTTAGTAATTTAAATGAAATTCATGTCTTCCGCTAAATGAGCATTAATGCAGTTTTAGTGAGCACCTGACATTTTATCTCTGCCTAATACGTAGTATCTTCTAATTCACTTTCTTTTTCTTATTTTTTCTTTTATACAAACTTATTAAATTATATCCATACTCAGTTTCTATGAACTTCAATATGCGAATCTAATAATGTACTATTGTACTTTTGAAATATGCATTGATATGACATTTTAAAAATGAGCATAATATGAAAATTAATTGAACATACATAACTTACAAAATGAGCATTGCTGCATTGATATTAAAATCATAAGATTTTTTAGTTTAGCATCAATACATTTTCATTGAGCATCAAATCTTCTTTATTGTCTATTGAGCATTAGAAACATGCAATTGTGTTTCCGTATCTATAATCAACTCCTACGTGGATCTAATGTAATATGATATTGATGCTTTTGAAATAAACATTGATATACCATTTTAAAATGATCATAAAATCAGTAACAAATGAGCATACATAATTTATCAAATGAGCACTGCTATGAAAATTCATAAACTTTGTTAGTTGAGTATCAAAACATTTTCATTGAATATCAAACTTCCTCTATTGATTATCCCAATTGAGTATCATGATTCCCGCTCCTAAGTATATAATCTAACTCTTATGCGAATCTAAAATGATACTTTTGAAATATGCATTAATATGACATATTAAAATGAGCATAAAATCAGTATCAAATGAACATACGTAACTTACAAAATGAGTATAAAAAAATCAAAAAGCCCGTTTGAATTCTCTAATGTGTTTAAATGTTCATTTGTGCCCATATAATGACAAATATAGTAATGACACATATAGTAATGATAATGACAAATATAGTAATTTTATGTTAAAAATAATTTATAGTCATTTAGTTCTCGAATTACAAATATAACCGAGTTCAATTTATAAAATAATAATGTCAACCTGTGTTATTAACAAATGTTTACCCATGCATGTTTATTTAACACTATACTCATTTTAGTATAACACAAAAATCATGTTAGTACTTAGCACACAATATTAAATAAAAATATAAAATAATAAATATTCATCCTAAATTTAAAATAGAAATACAAATAAAACATTAATACCTAAAATATTTTATACGTAGTAATACATAAATTAAAAAACTTAAGTTAGAAGGTATATTGGAAAAAGAAGAAAGATAAATTGGGACATTTAATAATATTTTCTATTAAGACGAGTGTGCATTTGACAACTGTTAATAACATTACCTTAATAGTATGCTATGAATGTCTTCCTGCTACTGAATGAGCTCTATGATGATATTGAAAAATTGATGAATGGTTTCTGGTGGAGGGGCTCAAAGCTGGATCAGAAAGGCCTGAGATGGAGGAGTTGGAAGGGTTTGTGCAAACCGAAGGAAGCAGGTGGCTTAGGCTTCAGAAGACTGAGAGAATTAAACTTGGCAATGCTTGGAAAACAGGGGTGGCGGTTAATAACAGAAGAAAAATGTTTGATGAGCCGAGTTCTTAAAGCCAAATATTTTCCAAATTCGAATTTTTTAAGTGCTAAGTTGGGGAGTAATCCTTCATTTATATGGAGAAGTATTTTTGAGATGCAGCCAAATTTAAAAAATAATATCAGAAGACGGGTGGGGAATGGTATGTATCGGAGACATGAATGTGGCGGCTTTGAGGGATATTACCGGTAAAAAATGGAATGTCGAGCGAGTTAATTCTTTATTTAATGAGGAGGATAGGAAATTGATTCTCAGCATTCCCATAAGTGCTCAGAACCGAAAGAATTGCTATTGGTGGAAGGGGAAAAATAATGGAGTTTATTCGGTGAGGAATTGTTACAGACTATTATTAGGAGAAATATAAGCGGACGCTTGGCAGGTATGGGAAAAACCTTATGGGACCTTAGGGTTCCACCAAAATTTATTTATTTTTGTTTGGCAGGTGATCGATGGTTCGTTACCGACAATGAACAATCTCAAAAGGAAGGGAGTGCAAATTTTGCACGGTTGCAAATTATGTGGCAGCGAGTCGAAATCGGCTGACCATGTCATGAGGTCATGCGCACGGGTGCAGCAGGTCTGGAACTTGGCAGACGACTTCTTGGAATGCGAGCAACTCGAGATGGAGGACTGGTTGATGAGACAATTTGATAGGCTGGATGGGAATGGCAGAGGCAGGTTCGTGGCAATACTCTGGAATATTTGGAAGCGAAGGAACAAGGCTTTCTGGAAAGATCAGGTACAAGAGGCATCTTGTGTGCTAAACATCAAATAACTAGCATGGTTTCTGGTTGGAAGGAAGCTCAAGAGACAGGATCGGTGAAGGCTACCCGACTGAGACCGGAAGAGAAAAATGGGAGAGAACATGGCAAGGTGTGATAAAAATTAATGTGAACGGAGCAGTGGATCAGGAAGGACAAAAACTAGCATGGGACTGGATAGCTAGAGACGAGAATGACGAGTTCATTCGAGCGGGGGAGCGTCTCACACGGTAGGATGGACTGCTGCTGAAACAGAGGCTTTAGGTGTGCCTGAGGTCTTAAGAACAGTTGAAGAGGAGGGATGTCAGCAGGTGGAAATAGAGACAGATGCGCTTTCAATGGTTCAATGCATTAAGGAGGGGGTTCTTCTTATCTCCATCTGGTTATCGATGATATAAGGAGGTTACTGGACAAAGAATAATTTTATTGTCTTTTTTTGTAGAAGATCTGCGAATCGTATTGCTCATTCTCTCGCAAGGGCACATGTTACCAACTTAGATTAGGGGTTATTTGTGATGTGATTCCTGAATGTTTTGTAAGCTAATTGGCAAAAGATCTTTTGATTTAATATATTATTCTAGTTTGATGATCAATTTTCTTTCTTTCTTTGAGGTGCTTTAGTCACTTTTGTAAACTTAAATCATGAGTATCCATTGCCTCCAAAATGTAGGAATTCACGCGGGTTTTGTGCAACATGTCTGGCGTTGAAAGGCAGAAACAGCCGCCAACCACGGCATCTGCACCTTTTCCCCGTGTCCCATTTAGTATCATCTTCTCCGATTTCATGCCCACCGCCACCGCCACCATCTGGCTTCCGGTTTGTGCACCTTTTTTCCTTCCCAATACTCGCTGTGGGCCCTGTCCATCTCTTTCTTCCTTTGCCAGCATTTTCTGCTGGAGATGAATCAAGAGCCAGTCATTCTCCTCAACGTTGCTCTTTGAGGTACATATTTTCTTTTAATGGATTGCAAGATTTTGTAGTTTGTTTTATCGTTACTGTGACTGGAAAATCCCGCCTTTCTCTTTTTAGATTAAAATAAAAAGGCGATCTTTCATCTTTTATGCAAGCTCATTAATTGAAATTCCGAATGGTCTCCCGGAAATCAAGTTAATGCAACAAAGACTTTCCCTTAAATTAAGCGATCAATCTCCTGTTCCATACGGGGTTTAGTAAAAACTGTTCCCTCAAATCTAACATTGGACGAACATTCCAATTTGAGGTTAAGAATCTGCTTCCCGGAATAATACATTTTTCAAAATTTCAAACCCTAGTCGATTGATCTTGTGGGCACATAGGGCTACCAACTGACAAATCGAAAGGCAAATCCTAGATTTATCCATTCCAACTCCCACAAAATTACCTTTTATTGTGGAGCCTGTGGAGGAAGAAGTGGACTTGTGAAACATAGAATGATGAGTGGTTAAACTGTACGAAACAAAGCATGTAGTTAGGCACTCATTTGGGTGAATTTTCATCATCATGCCACCTTTCCTTTTACCTTTCTGCCCTAAACCACCTGATAATCTGATCATACATTTTTTTTAATTTCTAATGAAATTAAGGCGTAGCCAATGTACGCTTTCTTGTGTTTCTCACCACAGAGTAAGCTTCTCCTGCTTGAGATCATATGTTTTTCAGTTTGTCATTTAACCTTGTTGAGTAATTGCGTCGGTTTAGGTAAAGAAGCATCAATGCAGTTGCTAATAGTGATATATCCTACCGCCTTTGTCTGCTTCAGATGGGGATAAAATGTGATATGTGTTAGCATATAAAGCTGAATGAAACAATGATACAGAAGTCGTTCTTCTAGTATTAAATAAATAGCTGTATGCCATGTTCTTAGGATATTGATTATTTGATTGGCATTGCAAGTTAGTTATGAAGAATAAGGAATTATCGTTCCACATTTTCAGAATTTCTTAGGTGAACATATAATTCCATTCTGTTCATTTCTTGTTGCAAGGGAAATTGGTTGTCTCTTCTGGCGAAAAATGACCGTAACCTTTCCTTATTTCATGATTTCATCAATGTTTGTGATTCATCTCTCATTCATATATATTTCCTAAGAATTTTCACTTTTACATTTGTTTTGATCCCTAGTCATCAATTAATATAGCCGAATTCAGTGGCTCATGCTCGATGCTTCTATATTGGTTTTTTTCTTCCATCTCCCCACCTAAGAAATTGTAGCAAATTAACAATATGAAATATATTAAATCTATGGGCGCTCTAGTAGCTCATATCTAAATTATTTGTAAATAGAATAACTTAAAACAATCACATTCTAACCAAAACAGCACTATTGGGCAACTCTAAATACTCACAGAGGATAATAAATCCAGGTTGATGAAGAAGAAATTTATTGGGGCAGCCAGAAGCATGGTGGGGACTCAGGGTGGTCAGATAATTCTGCTCACGTGATATCACATCTAGCCCAGTGTTTTAGTGAGTGCATTTTTGGACACTCTTTTATGACCCTTCTGCATGATGCAAATACTTAGTTTATATGTACATATTAACATATCATTACTTCATTATAGTTTATTATTGTGTGTTTGCGTATTATTTCAAACTTCTCTTCTTATTAGATTTCATCATTTCACACTATTTATCTATTTATTAGTTGAAAAGTTGACATACTTCTTGGTACTGGCATTGCATTATTTTTGTAGATTTCTTGTTAATAAAGCAATTTTGGTTGACATTTATTTTGATATGCCTTAACTTTAACTAACCAGAATGTGAAACAATATATTTGAGTGTAAAGCCTGATTCTTTAATTGACACATGCTTGATCTTTGGTACCTCTTTAATTGACACATGCTTGATATTTGTGATAAGCGGGTTCTTTAATTGACACATGCTTGATCTTTGGTACCTCTTTAAAAAGAACTGCTTACTCCTGTCTTGGTTAAAGGGCATGATTTTGGCTTCACACAAAGCAATGAACTTGGAAACACTCATTTATAGGGCCCAGTTTTGTCTTTCAGTAACTTTCATTTTATTGGACTGGAGGGAGTAGTTCACAACTTCACATGAACTTGAAAAGCTGTGGGTATCTTTCAATACGGTGCAGCTTGAAATAGTGGAAGTGTGTTTTTTATTTTTAAATTGATGTTCCAACTTATATGACTTAATGTTGAAGTTTCACCCTCATTTTCATTTTTCTCTTCTGCTATAGCTAATGCTATGGCTGGACCACGAACATGGATTGGAGGAATTCTCAGCCGCTCAAGCAATAAACGGTATGGAAGTGACAAACTTATCGACTATACTCTGACCCCTGAACAGGTAGTTTTCAACTGCTAGAATATCGTAGCCTTTTTTTTTTTTTTTTAATTTGGTTCTGGTTATATGTGTAAACTTGCCCTCTCTGGCTCTCTAACTCTCCTTTGAATGCTCTTTCTTTTACTACTACTATTAACCTTACAAATCATCTCAAGTTGCATCGGTGTTAAATTTTGTGTCTATCTTGCCTTTATTCTCATACCCTACGTTATACGCCTGCTGTATTTTTCCCCTTAACAACGCTTTTGTATTTCATCACAGGAGGAGAGACTTCACAAGCTACAAGAAAGATTAGGAGTACCTTTTGACGAGTTTCGGCCTGATCATCGAGTAAGAACTACAAAGCTCTTTCTAATTTTTTTCCTACTAGGTATTTTTCTTCATTAGAAAATACAAATATCTCAGAAAACAAAAATGTCTTGATTCTCCCAAAATCATTATCTTATACAGCATTTCATTTTATTATTAGGTGGGAAGTATACTTGAAGATACCAAACTTAATCTCTTCTCTTTCTCATACAGCTTAATGATACCAAACTTCATCTCTTTTTCTCTTTCAATTTCAAGGCTCAAGCGAAGGCAGATCACATTAATAGATTTTCTTCTGCCTTTTCCGTCTATCCCTTGCAAATTGAAAACTTTTTCTTCTGCCTTCTCCTTTCACCCATTCATTCTTATTGCAATAGTTTGACTTTCACATATGCAAACACAATATTGACCATTAGTATATTTAATTGCCTATTTGTAAAAAGGAAAAGGGTCAAATAAACCCTTCTCTTATTTTCAATCCATCACTTAAGCCCCTATACTAAAAAAGTACTCCCTCCGCCCCGCTAAGATTGTCTCATTTTACCTTTTCGGGAAATCCCACTAAGATTGTCTCATACCATATTTGGTAAAGTTTATGTGGCTCTAAATCATTCTTACTTTATTTTTACTTTATCAATTCAATATCAACCACATAAACTTACTTTATTTTTACTTTATTAATTCAATGTTAGTGGGGCGGAGGCAGTATCATATAAGTACACTTGCTTTAAAAAATTGATCAATCTGGCCATTTAATCAGTTTTTGGCCTGTAATAACAGGTTTAGTATATTAAAAACCTCTAAAGGATTGCTAAAATTTGAAGAAATATAGATAAAAATTGTGAAAGATTCTTTATTTAATAGATTTTACATATTCACTTTACATTTTCAGTTTTCTTATTTTTTTATTTTAATGTTTTTATTTTTTTAGAGAAGAATCGTTCAATTTTTTTTAGAGAAGAAAACTTATACTCCGTATTAGAATAGAATAAATCATCACCCCACCACCAACAATAGACCAAACCCACTCACTAGACCTCTTAAAGCCAACAGCTCCCCGACTCCCTGATTAGACATAAAATAGACTATCCAAAAAAGAAATTGCTACCTAAACAGATAAAAACCAGTGCAAACCTACCATCCCCAGAGTAAAAACAACAGCAACAAAAGATTATTATTACATTATTTTTCAAATTTACATGAAGTTTTATAAGATTTATCATAGTCCTAATTTATTTTTTAAAAAATAACCTGCTATAGCAGGTCAAAATGGTTTGATTGATTATATTTGAAAAGTAAGCATGCTTATATGATACTTTTTTTTAGTAGAAGGGCTTAAGTGGTGGATTAAAACTAGTAGAAGAGTCTATTTTTGATCTTTTTCTATTTGTAAAAATTATAAAAAATGCATATCTCGAAAATTTTCACTGAGAAAGAATTTAACAATATGTTTCATAATATTATTTTTTTAATGGAGCGAAAGACTCACTATTTTTTGGCTTGGGAGTATGATGGAATAAATCAAAATGGCTCTCTACACTGGCTGTGCTTCTTTGTTATGAAGCAACAGTCAGTCCATGTGATTTTTGACGCGATTTTCACCGTGGGTCATCTGGAAACAGCCTCTCTCTGCTTTAGTACATGGGTAAGGTTGCGTACATCTGACCCTCCCTACCCCACTGTAGGTGGGATCCTTTGCAGCACTGGGGTAATGACGATGATGATGAATATTATTTTTTAAATACACTAATAAATAAAATGTGGTCAAAGTAGAAGTATGTAAATGGTGCAAAATTTTAAATGTTGCAACTTATTATGAATAGAGGCAGTGTATTCAGAATCAAGTAATAAGTTATAGCAGTGAAATGATTAAAACTTTGATCATGTGAACCTTGGGATGCATTTTCCAGTCACAATGCATCTTAACGGGTACATATTTTCACAAAAATGAGCGTATATTTCTAAGCTAACATGTAAACATCAATCCATCTTGTTACTACATTGTCATTTCAGGAAGCACTTTTATCTTTATGGAATTTGTCATTTCCAGACGTTAAGCTCAAAGGACTGATCTCTGAGCAATGGAAGGATATGGGTTGGCAAGGATCTAACCCATCAACTGATTTCAGGTAAGTCCAATTCTTTGAGACCCCCTTGGCCCCACCCCAACCATATATTATCATTTGAAGTAACATGTTGGCCTTAACATTTTGTTAAGTGCTGTAATTTGATTTGTACCTATTAAATGCAATCTTCTAATAACTGTTTATATGTAGGTTCTTTAAACGTTTTATAATTAAGAACATGTTATGGAAATGATCTGTTATCAATGACTTGACTCGATGTTAATGTTCCTCTGGTAAAAACAAGCATTTAACCATCACCCCTGCAGTTGATGTAATAAACCTAAGAAATAATTTTGGCTATTCATATGGAGATATGAATATATGATTAATGCAACTCTAATGAATTGCCTCAGTTGATAACTTTCTTGATACCAGGGGTTGCGGTTTTCTTTCACTCGAGAATTTACTATATTTTGCAAGAAATTATGCGGTAAGGTTTTTACATAATTATTACACCTCATGCAAAGGGCAAAGGATTCTCCATACTTTAGATATGATAACTACTGTAGTATTTTTTTCTTACATCTTGTTTAGATTTAAGCAATTAAGCTGCATAGTGTTTGTTTAACTGATAGTATAAATTCAAATGGAAGGCTTGTTTCCATAGGTTACTTTTGAAGCAAGTTGGAGACCGCGCAACATGGGAGTACCCATTTGCAGTTGCTGGGATTAATGTTTCATTTATGTTGATTCAAATGCTGGACTTGTGTTCAGGTAGTACCTAAGTACTTAAAAGGTCTCTTGGGGACTTGGGTTGCTAAAAGGCTGCTCACGTCTAGCAGAATGCATTCTCCGATTTGCATTACTATGTTTTTTCAGCTGTGGACAAAAAACATACTGTTACTACCAAATTAAGTGATGATTATTAATTAGGAGGTCGTTGGTAACACTGTTTTTCGGCTTATTAGGCTTATCGGCCAACTTTTTCACCAAACACGTAACTTTTGTTTTCGCGCGCTGAATTGTGTAATAATAAGAAAAAGTAAGGTTGAGTTACTTTTCTGACTGTATTGGCTGAAGTTACTGTAGATGACCATTTTAGCTATTTTTACATATATATTTTTTCTTTATTTTATTAATGAAATATATTTTAAAAATAATTTTTTCTTAAAACAGCAGAATCAGCCAATGCAGCCACTTCAGCCAGAACTTTATAAATTACAGCAGAATCAGCCGAATTAGCCGATTTTCGTGTTACCAAACAGGCTCTAGGTGTACTCGACTTATTCTATTGGGCTGCTCTCTTTTTGTTTAAAAGAAGTGAGTGTTGTGTGTGTCCGTTTGAGTGTTATTGAATAGCTTACATTGAAAGTTGCAAAGTGTTTGGAAAGAGGATGATGTGGGGAGAATCAATAAATTAACAAGCGCTTGATACCAAGTAGAATTATCAAGCTGCGTTGTAGATTTGACTGAGTCGATTAGTGATTTTGAAGAAAGGCTTTTGGTAAAATTAGCTTGTTATTATTGACAACAGTCAACTGCAAACTGTCATAGAGAAATGACTATTTAGTAATTTATGAAGTATAAATAACTCATACTGTATAAATAACCAAGCACTCCAGCCTAGCTGGTTGCGAGGTTACCGTGCCTAGTGGGAGGTCTCGAGTTCGAATCCCGCTAGGCACACACAAGGGTTTGAAACTTAATGGAGTGAGTTTCAGCCCTGATTACTCCAGGCTCCCCCCAGTCCCCCTCCCCCAGACCCCCTTGGAGTAAAAAAACAAAAAATAATATGATATTATAATTTAACTGAAAAGTTTGCATATGGAAATGGTTTATGATTATTAATGTACAATTGAAAATTCGAACAAAATGTATGAATTATAAGATTTCATATTATCTTATATATGAATTTTGAATATGTTCATTCTAATTTAATTCTAATGTAAATTAAATTACGAAGAAGAAGCAATAAAAGAAACTATGAAATGAATATGTCTTGAACTATATGAATCCACCAATAAGTCAGCAACCCCGGGTGCTTTGATTTATTTGATTTGTTTTGATTTTATTATTTATGGGAAATTGGAAACTAATAATCCAACCTTTTAGCGGTCTTCTTTCAATAATCCCACCTTTTGATTATTCATGAATAATCCAACCTTTGCACCTCATCTTCATTCACTAGTCCCTGATCGGTTAATGACCTACTTTTCCAAGTTATTTTCTTATCTTTGCAAAATATTATCTTTGTGAAAGATGAGATTTATGGTATAATGAATTGCAAAGATAATAAAATAGCTTGGAATAGTATGTCATTAACCGATCAGGGACCAGTGAATGAAGATGAGGTGCAAAGGTTGGATTATTCATGAATAATCAAAAGGTGGGATTATTGAAAGAAGACCGCTAAAAGGTTGGATTATTAGTTTCCATTTTCCCTTATTTTAATTTGTTTTGTTTCTTGCAGCGAAACCTAGATGCCTTCCAGGAATCAATTTTTTAAAACTATTAGCAGGTATGAGCGTATGAGACTATGACCTTTATACTGTGTGGCTTTTAGTTGATTTGAATGTGGTTCGTTCCAAATGATCTGTGTTTAAAATTGCACGCACCTGCAGAAGATGAAGATGCATTTGATGTGCTTTACTGTATAGCATTTGCAATGATGGATGCGCAATGGCTGGCTATGCACGCTTCATATATGGAATTCAATGTACACTAATTTCTCCCTCATTATTGTACAAATGGACAGTGTTCTAAGATGCATTAGACCACTGCAAATAGTGTGAGGATGAAGTTTTAGTTATCATTATCATTGTATTAAGCATGGTTTATGCCTTTTATGACCATCTGTATGACTTTGTGCATTCTAAACTAGAAAGTTTTGCATTTTCGTTCCCACAACTATTAGATGATTTAGATCATCCCCACTTTTTGGTCAGACTTTCATGTTTCTACATTTTTATGACGACTGGATTTTTCCTACTTCGGTCTTTCCTGTCTCCTGTCTGGTGAAAATCCTCTAGAGGTTTGCCGGGTAAAGTGTTCAGAAGGACCTGAAGATGGGCATTCAAGTCGTAGTCATGCACCAAAAGTAAAAACAAGTTAGGACCAAAAGTGGAAATGACTTGACAGTTGTGGGCCGAAAGTGGAAAGTTTTCTTCTACTCGTAACAATATATTTATCATGTATGAGTGTTCTTTGTTGCATTTGTCCAGGATGTTTTGCAAGTAACAAGGCTGCAATTGGAGAGAGAATTGTCTTTAGAAGACATAAACAGGATGACTGATCTACCAGCCTACAACCTTGTATAGTTTCCTCTCCTGTCCGTATGCTTGAGGAACAAAGTCATCAGTCTCATATTTCAGCTGGGAGATTGCGTTCTTGCTGCTTTAGGATTTAGGAATAAGATAGCAGTAGACTGTTTAATGCTGCAAGTATATAGAAGATGAAGGGGATGGATTTAGGCTCCACAAATACTGAGCTTTCATCAGCAGGCATTATATTTATATTTGTATATTAAAGTTCTTTTTGTGCTGCCCTGGTTCACCTCTTGACATGACCATTTCTTTTTCTTCAGTAGTTCAGTACCAACAACTTTCTAGTGCGCTGTTGGTTAATTAATTTTCTGGGCACATCGGAAGAGGTAAAATTGTAGCACACTAAAAATGTTATATTTGATATATTGTGACATTTTAGCACCTATGACAACATTTTGCACATGCAACAAAAGCTATAATTTGTTGTAGTGTATGAGTGTATCTCTCTCGCAAACTCATATAAATGATGACATATTTATTTCTTCTTTTTTATTTTATTTGTTCTAGTATGCTTTTGTATTTTTTGTGTAATATGTTTGCTTCTCCCAATGTCCATCATTTTAAATGGAGCCAAAAAATTACTATTTTTTTGCTTGGGAATATGATGGAATAAAGTAAAATGACTCACTAAACTGCTGCGTTTCTTTGCTATGAAGTAACAATCAATGATGATGATGTTTGCTCCTCCCAACTACCGTATCGTCTTAAATCAAATGACAATTTTTAGTTATAAAAAAATCGAAAAAACCGAAACCGAACTGAAACAAATTGAACCAATCAAACCTTGGTTTCAAGTTTTGAAAGGCAAAACCGAATTGAAACCGAACTTTCTATTTTAATTCCACATTTAGTGTTTGGTCAAAATCGAATCGAATAAACCGAACCCCGAAGATGTCACCCCGGGCCAGGGTCCTGGTTAGATAAGATGGGTTATCCGAGGTGCAACGTGGTATTAGTATTTGGTAAGCATCTCATGCTGTCATGCAGCCGCAAATTTGATATTATCCAGAAGCACATACAGAGGTTACTTAACACGTGTGCATCTTAAAAAGGAAAACTGACACGTGGGCACAAACACACATATTCACACAGAGATGCTGGGATTGTCAAGGCTCATTTGAGAAGAGGATGGAGAAGTTGAAGAATCCGGAAATGGAGGGAGCTGGAGATAAGAAGGAGAGGGTGATGATAGCAATTGATGAGAGTGAATTCAGTCGTTATGCAATTGAATGGACTCTTCAACACTTCCACGCTTCCTTGCTGAACTCACAAATTGTGCTCTTCACCGTTCAGCCAATCGTTGACTATGGCTATATCTATGCTTCTTCCCTTGGCTGCACTTGTAACCTCTCTTTCCTTTCTTTCACTACTCTTTTAATTCACAACTTTCTGCCTTTTTTTTTTTTTGATGAATTGCTACAATATGTAGAGCTGTTTGTTAGCACTGAAATTGGCCCAAGTGCCAAAATTGATGAAATTTCAGGTCAAAGCTGAATTGGCTGAATCTTCTAAATAATGAAAAAACTATATTTAATTAATAAAATGAAGAACAAATTATATGGAAAAAGCTAAAATGATCATGTACACGTATTGAGCCAGAAATGTTACTTCAATTTTATTTATTTCGATTTAACACAATTTTATTTCGAAATCAAAATTTTCAATCTCTCGTTGGTATGACATGGAAAACTGCATCGTTGTTAATTTCTATTAATGATATATCTCTTTATTGTTCGCAAACATGAGAGTGAAATACTTATGTGAAGGTAAAAGATGATCTGGAGGTGTATTTATTAGATTCATAAGGGCATCGTGTTTCACTACACAAACCATACAGTTTTAATATGAGTTTAAAATTTATTCTAAAAGGTCAATCTGATTGAATATTTGATACTCCGTACCTTAAATATGTTGGCTTGTATCTTTGTATCTCAAGATACTTGCTCGTTGGAGTAGTTTAATAGAGCAATCTTGATATTTGTGTGTTCTTTTGTTGTTTTAGTTGGATGGATGGCTACTGTGAGGTTGATCGACTCTGATATCTATTAAACGCCTTATGATATACTATCGTATTGATTTGTATGTTTATACATGGTTGGCTTATGAAGTGTAACTAGTTTAGATGGTTGTTTTCAAGCTTTGTTATATTATACATTGGAATGTGTAATCACATATTAAATGTAAAAAATATAAGAAATATTTGTAAGATCTTACACTATTTTCTTTACTGTTGCAGCTCCTGAAGTGGTAAGAACCATCCAAGAAAATCAAAAGAAAGTTGCCACTGCTCTTTTGGATAAAGCTACTGATATCTGCAAAAAATATGGGGTAATTTATCTTGATGATAAATTTAAGTATTTTGATCTTTCCACTCTCTTTTTCTTTTACCATTTATCTTCTTTTCTTTTTATGTTCTTATGTTATTTTTATCTTCTAGTTTCTTTTTTTTTAATGCTCTTTTATCTTTTTATCGTTTATCTTTCTTATGGTCTTATGTTATTGTTATTTTATATTTATTTATCTTTATCTTATCCGTTTTATCTTACTTTTTTTCCTTGTCTGTCTTCTCTTTTTGACATTGATATCATGGATCGATTCATGTTAGCCGACCCCAAAATCTTTTGGGATTAAGGCTTGGATGTTGTTGTGTTGTTATTGTTGATCATTACTGAAAAGTCTTTGTAATGAAAATTAAATGAATAGATAGTCTCCCTATGTCCCACTTGTGTAGGTTAGTTTTATTCTATACTCCAGTTTCCCTAATGAAGAGTACTTGATGAAACTTATAAGTAGTATGGCTATTATCTTTTAATCATAATAAGAAAAAATTTAATATATGGCCAATTGGCCAGTGATGAACGTATACTAAACTGACTTTTCCACCACAGCTATGTGGCTTAGAAAGACTCAGAATATGTGACTTTTTATTTGACAGATAACAGCAGAGACAGTCATGGAGGCAGGAGATCCTAAAGAGGCCATATGTCAAGCAGTAGAAAAAATGAACATCCAATTGCTTGTGCTGGGAAGCCACAGCAGAGGGGCTCTGCAAAGGTTATTTTGACTACCTAAATATCTTAAGTTTTTGTAGTTGTATGCTTCCTATTCCCAAAATAAACTTCTTAATTTGCTTTTGGCACACAAATTTCGGAAATGGATCTGTGTCATTGGAATTTGTTTAGAAGAAACCAAAATAATATTGACCTCACTCTTCCCCCATAAAAGGGAAGAGTATGTTTAATTTGTGACAACATAAAAAGGAAAGTTGAAAATATATTTTGAGGCGGAAGGAGTTTTTTGTTTTATTAGATGACTGGTTGCCGACTCACTCTCCCTTATGGGAGGTCTCGCGTTCGAAACTTATGGAGTGAGTTTCATCCCAGTTTACTCCAGACCCCCAGACCCCCCTTCCCCCAGACACCCCCTTGAGTAAAAAAAAAATGACTGGTGGCCTCGCTTCTATTTTGCACTTTTAAAATACATGTATTGTATAGTCCCTCTATCTCTTGAAAAACTTCTCATTTTTCTTTTATGAACGTCCTCAAATAAAGTTATGCTAATTACTGTCAAATAGTGCTAAAACAGTACACTCTACATTAATGAGGTCATGAGGACAGTTAATGAAGTTTAAATTGGGATTTGGGAGGAAGGGAGTATGAACGTTGGACTAGTATGTCTTTAGGGATTATGAATTACAGGGCCTTCCTCGGAAGCGTCAGCACGTACTGTGTCCACAATGCCAACTGCCAGGTTCTTGTTGTCAAGAAGAAGCCTTGAGATAACAGTAATTATCCATTTCTGTTGCACTGAGGGGAAATCATGTACATACATACATCAGCTGGAATAAGTAACAATGGGTCGTTGCAATCTAGTGGTTTGATATACTTTCAAATAAAGATGGTTGTAATGTATGGATGTGTGGTAGACATCTTTATATCGCTAGGTTCTGTAATGTTTTGATTTATATTTTGAGTTGAGAAATCTCTTGTGGTTCATAATTATTTGGAGTCAGAATTGCTTTATGCTTCTTCAGATCTTCATATATGGTGCACCTTTTCCACGCACCATGTATTATGATCATTGTTCATTTGTTCTAACCATTAAAGGAAAGTGTACACAGAGAAGAAAACATAGAGAAGGAAGGTTTCAGTTTGAGCCAAGCTTCCAGATCCTCTCCCTTATGCATCAAGATCACTATACATTGAGCTAAACACCTGCCTAGGTGGGCAGGGCGTCGCTTGGACCTCTGTCTACCTCAAATTTTAGTTTTCATTTGGGTGTTTCTATTCACAAAAAATCGACACAATCAGTTTCCATAACATTCCCGTCTCAAGTTTCTTCTCTTGTATGTCAGTCATCACAAAACTCCGTATTAGAATAGAATAAATCATCACACCACCACCAACAATAGACCAAACCCACTCACTAGACCTCTTAAAGCCAACAGTCCCCCCTGACTCCCTTATCAGAAATAAAATAGACTATCCAAAAAAGAGCAAGATTATTCAGTGAACATGCGAGAAATTGAAGGTATAATCGGCCACAACAGTCTGATTGCTTCCATAGGAATTGCTACCTAAACAGATAAAAACCAGCAGTGCAAACCTACCATCCCCTTCCATAGAAATTGCTACCTAAACAGATAAAAACCAGTGCAAACCTACCATCCCCAGAGTAAAAACAACAGCAACAAAAGATTATTATTACATTATTTTTCAAATTTACATGAAGTTTTATAAGATTTATCATAGTCCTAATTTATTTTTTAAAAAATAATCTGCTATAGCAGGTCAAAATGGTTTGATTGATTATATTTGAAAAGTAAACATGCTTATATGATACTTTTTTTAGTAGAAGGGCTTAAGTGGTGGATTAAAACTAGTAGAAGAGTCTATTTGACCCTTTACTATTTGAAAAAATTATAAAAAATTCATATCTCGAAAATTTTCACTGAGAAAGTATTTAACAAATATAACAATATGTTTCATAATATTATTTTTTTAATGGAGCCAAAGACTCACTATTTTTTGGCTTGGGAGTATGATGGAATAAATCAAATGGCTCTCTACACTGGCTGTGCTTCTTTGTTATGAAGCAACAGTCAGTCCATGTGATTTTTGACGCAATTTTCACTGTGGATCATCTGGAAACAGCCTCTCTCTGCTTTAGTACGGGGGTAATGCTGTGTACATCTGACCCTCCCTACCCCACTGTAGGTGGGATCCTTTGCGGCACTGGGGTAATGCCGATGATGATGAATATTATTTTTTAAGTACACTAATAAATAAAATGTGGTCAAAGTAGAGATATGTAAATGGTGCAAAATTTAAAATGTTGCAACTTATTATGAATAGAGGCGGTGTATTCAGAATCAAGTTATAAGTTATAGCAGTGAAATGATTAAAACTTTGATCATGTGAACCTTGGGATGCATTTTCCAGTCACACAATGCATCTTAACGGGTACATATTTTCACAAAAAATGAGCGTATATTTCTAAGCTAACATTTAAACATCAATCCATCTTGTTACTACATTGTCATTTCAGGAAGCACTTTTATCTTTACGGAATTTGTCATTTCCAGCAGGGCCATCTAGAGCAATTTTGAGGCCACAGACAACCAAATAATACTTCATATTTAATTATGAGGTGCAACATTCTCACGTCTCACTAATGCTAGGTTATGATAAAGTTTTACAATTATTAAGAAAAGCTAGTTTATGTGGTTGATATTGAAATGATAAAGTAAGTATGATTTAGAACCATACAAATTTTGTCAAATTTGATATGTGACATTCTTAATGCATAGACTGAAAACGAAAGATGAGACAATTTTAGCGGAGTAGAGAGAGTATAACTTCAATATATTTTTTAGTAAAAAATACAAAACTATAATAAGAAACAAATTGGAATGACATAGCCAGAAAGAAATATTAACGTGACTTGGTTAGTTTTTTCCTGATGATCTTTTACACAATCTTCTAACATATAAAAATATATAACTATTTTACAAATTTGGGGAGGATTGGGGCCTAAAAATTTAAAGGACGTCCTAATTTAGACATTTCAACTAAATGTTTTCACTTTTTATTTTAGAAAACAATTAACCCTCGTAAGTGACAATTTGATAATAAAATATTAAAAATAATACATTTATAACTCATTATATTATATACGTACACATCAAAACTATCTCTCTAAATATACTTGAATTAGGATATTGAATTATTGTCTATGCATATGCATTATAGTTAACACAATCATGATTATTAAAATTATAGTCACTAAAGTATAAAAAGACATATTTTATGAAATAATTACGTAAATAAGACCAAAATAAAGATGGATTACAAAAATATGATTACTTACTAGAGTAGTAATGAAATCATAGTAATTCATGTTCAAGTTTTGAACTTACGTTACCACAACACTAGATTGTAGTAATGAATAGTTATATTTATGTAAATAAGTTCTATTTTAGTAATATTCTTGTAAAAAACCCATATTTTATTCACTCTTATTTAGATCTATATTTGTCATTATTTTCTAATATATCACCGAACATGGTTAATCTTGATAATTTGTTTTTTTTTGCATCAACGTATCTTTTGTTCTACACTAATTTTTAAGTATTTTAATTAATTTAATTAAAGATTTAAGGTATATATAATATTATTATTTTTTAAAATGGAGGCCCTAAGAAATTTGGATGCCCTAGACAAATGTCTAGGCTACCTCCCCATGGCTGGCCCTGATTTCCAGACGTTAAGCTCAAAGGACTGATCTCTGAGCAATGGAAGGATATGGGTTGGCAAGGATCTAACCCATCAACTGATTTCAGGTAAGTCCAATTCTTTGAGACCCCCTTGGGCCCTTGGCCCCACCCCAACCATATATTATCATTTGGAGATTGTATATGAGAAGTAACATGTTGGCCTTAGCATTTTGTTAAATGCTGTAATTTGATTTGCACCTATTAAATGCAATATTCTAATAACCGTTTATATGTAGGTTCTTTAAACGTTTTATAATTAGGAACATGTTATGGAAATGATTAAAATGATCTGTTATCAATGACTTGGCTCAATGTTAATGTTCCTCTGGTAAAAACAAGCATTTAACCATCACCCCTGCAGTTGATGTAGTAAACCTAAAAAATAATTTTGGGTATTCATATGGAGATATGAATATATGATTAATGCACGACTTATTCTATTGGGCTGTTCTCTTTTTGTTTAAAAGAAGTGAGTGTTGTGTGTGTCCGTTTGAGTGTTATTGAATAGCTTACATTCAAAGTTGCAAAGTGTTTGGAAAGAGGATGATGTGGGGAGAATCAATAAATTAACAAGCGCTTGATACCAAGTAGAATTGTCAAGCTGTGTAGTAGATTTGACTGAGTCGATTAGTGATTTTGAAGAAAGGCTTTTGGTAAAATTAGCTTGTTATTATTGATAGCAGTCAACCGCAAACTGTCATAGAGAAATGACTATTTAGTCATTTATGAAGTATAAATAACTCTTACTATATATGATATTAAAATTTAACTGAAAAGTTTGCATAGGGTCATATGGAAATGGTTTATGATTATAATGTACAATTGAAAATATGAACAAAATATATTGAATTATAAGATTTCACATTATCTTATATATGAATTTTGTATATGTTCATTCTAATTTAATTCTAATGTAAATTAAATTACGAAGAAGAAGCAATAAAAGAAACTATGAAATGAATATGTCTTGAACTATATGAATCCACCAATAAGTCAGCAACCCTGGGTGCTTTGGTTTATTTGATTTGTTTTTCTTTTATTATTATATTTATTTTAATTTGTTTTGTTTCTTGCAGCGAAACCTAGATGCCTTCCAGGAATCAATTTTGTAAAACTATTAGCAGGTATGAGCGTATGACCTTTATACTGTGTGGCTTTTAGTTGATTTTGTCACGCCCCAGACCGCAATCCAAGCGCGTGTACAACCGCTGTATAACTAAGTGACGTCACCCACGAGTCAACCTCACTTAATTACACAAGGCGTTCGAGAAAACAATCCATCCATACTCAGTAGTAAACATACATAACAACATCACATTTAAACCAATGAATAGCGGAAATATTCAACGGTAAGTCATGGGCCACAACCGGCCAACAACATGGGCATGCAAGCCCCAAAAATAGTTTATAGTAAAACAAATATCCATGAGCAAGTGTTCGGTAGTTTGAAAGAAAATAAGGAAGCACGAACCACGTCTTCCTGATTTGATATCACCCGTGAGAAGGTGCAAGTAGCAAGCCCTAGCTTCAACCTGAAAATGGTGGGGCCCCCCCGAAGGGGTCAGTACAAGTACCGAGCGAGTAGCATGCTAAATATAGAATAACTAGCGTTTCAAGTATAAGACCCAAACATAGGGTGATACTTAAATAATAAATAGTCTTTCCCCCAAGTTATGAAATACTTATTAGTGTATATATACTTGGAAAATATCCGATCCGTAGATCACCGTTTTGTTTGGGAAAAATAGTAATAGTCAATATTCTTGATTAAAAACCCCAACTCACCCATATACCTATGAGTGTATAGGACTCCTCCTTGTCCCTATTTCAATATCATAATCTATGAGTTTTGAGGATCATAATCCTTGGGTACTCCACCGGTTTGTGAGTGTTAAGGACTCATAAGTCCTAGGGTCCTCCACCAAGTTTTGAGTGTTAAGTTACTTAAGTACTTTTAAGTACTAGGGTCCTCCACCAAGTTTGAGTGTTAAGGACTTTTAAGTCCTAGGGTCCTCCACCAAGTTTGAGTGTTAAGTACTTTTAAGTACTAGGGTCCTCCACCAAATTTTGAGTGTTAATACTTTTAAGTACTAGGGTCCTCCACCAATTTATAATCCGAGTGTTAAGGACTTTAAGTCCTAGGGTCCTCCACCAATTTATAATCCGAGTGTTAAGGACTTTTAAGTCCTAGGGTCCTCCACCAAAATATTTTCCTATGATCAACCTTCTATCAACCTAGATAGAGTCTATATCATACTTAGTTACTCATAACTAATTCAATACAT